AAACAAAACAAAACAAAACAAAACAAAACAAAACAAAAACAACAGAACAAAACCAACAAAAAACCAACCCAAAACAAACAGAAACATCTTTGGGAATACAAGTATTACATTTGCAAAATTAAGCACAATTTCAATTAATTCAAGTGCTGGTATGACACTGCCCGACTCTGCCAGACACTGATTATATGACTTTTCAAGTCATGAAGGTAAAGCTGAAATTATAAAGCCTGTCAGGGGTGCTGGTATTCTAAATGGAACTCATTATGGCCAAGAGTTTTTGTTCACATATAAACACCACGTCAATATCCCAAAGGTGCCGTGTTGAGCTGGGGAGGCTGAAATTTGACCTGAAAGCTTTTCATGATTATGGTTTTTTTCTCATTTCTTCATCCCAATCAAAATCCAATGCTTCGTCATCTAATTCTGATAAAGTAAAGAGAGATTTTTTGGAAAGAGCCAATCTCTCAGTGGACCCCTCTAGCTGGAAAGTTCTCCTCTTCTTGCCAGGCACTGGAGCTGCAGTCCCGGGAGGAGGGCTTGGGCCTCTCTCTCCCTGGTTCACACTTTCAGGAGGAGGAAGGGATTCTGGTTTGGATTCAGAGGGGCAAGTAAAGGAGAAGTTTGCCAATTTGGCTAATGTGCAGGAGTGAACCTTGCTGCTTTTGTTACTGCTTGAGACCTCTTCCTTTCTGTCTCTTTGACAAGTAAGATGAGAATGATCAGTCTTGTTCCCAAGCTCTACTTCAGGCTGGATGGTTCTCCTTTCAGGGACATGTTTGCTCTCCTCTCTTGACCTGTCTTCCTCCGGTGGCTTCCGGGACACCTGCTTTGCCTCACTCTGTGGCTGGTTTGAGTTCCTGCTTCCTGAGGGAGAGGCCAACTTCTGGGGACCCTTCACAGGCGAGGTTGAGTCTCTGCTTGCAACGTGGGGAGTTTCAGGACCTGGGACGGCTACTTCAGTTGTGCCTAGAGACACATGACTGTGGTCTTCAGGGGAATGGATCAGTTTTGACTTTGGTTTGAAAGTAAATTTTGCTAGTTTGGCCAACGGGGGACCTGGACTCTCAGCATATTCAAGTTCAGGCTCTTCCCTCTGAGCAAGGGATTTCTGCCTCGTTCTTTTGGGAGTTTCCCACGCTCCCTGTGGGCTGTGTACAGGACCAGAGCGAGGATGAGGAGAGCCTGTGGGCCGTGAAGGCGCCCTAGAGGGATTCCTGTACAGCTCCTGGGCCCTCGCCTTGTGCAGCGTGTGCAGTTTCCTGGAGACGTGATGCATCAGTACTGAGTCTGGCTCACCGGCAGGCACTGCCATTTCAGAAACCATTGCTGCCTTTTTTGCCTCTTTACCTTCCACATTATCTGGCCTTGATGGAGCTTCTGCCTCTCCTGGTGCTAGAAGCTGTCCAGTTTCCAATTTGCTCCTTTGGCCTGGCTCATTCCTTTCCTTACCCTGAGATTTGTTCCGGAAGATTTTCAAAGCCATTTTCTCCCCAGTTGTTTTGGGAGACACAGGAACAGTGTTTTTGGGCTCAATCTGATGAGCTCCTATGCAGTCAAACCAGTCCAAACTCTCATCTTTGCTGTATTTGTGCTCAGGTAAATGTTTTCTATTTGTTGATGTATTAGGCCCCAGGGGGGAGAGGGGACTGGGAAGTGGGCTTCCCTCAGGACTGCCTCCAGCAGAGGACGTCAGCGTACTACAGTTCACTTCCTGCCGTGCTGACCAGATTCTGGACTCGCATTCTTCTCCTGGATCATTTTTCAAGGATCCTGGGTTAGTCTCTGCCTCCACTGCCTGGGGCTGGGATTGGTACGCACTCTGATTCTGTAACCTGTGGCAGAGATAAATAAGGAAAACATGTATTGAAGAGAAGAGAATTTTTAACCTTTCCATTTCTTTAGTCTCTGAGATGCCATCTAAAGGCTTCAGTCCAACATAATTCCAAGTTAATACCAAATACAGTCTCTTAGAGCAGCAGGAGGAAATTATCCTTTCTCAGCAGTATAGAATTTAAGTGCTTTGATCATCATTTTAAAACTGAAATGAAATAAAGGAAATGAAGTAACAGGTTTGTCTACATCTTTACATCTCTCTGAAACTCCATTTAATTCATTTAAGATTGTTTGAAGGTCAGTGTAAAATGCGTATTCTTATCTCTCCCTGTTACATGTTCTACTACAACACAGGCTTCTAACTATCTGCACAGTGGACAGCTGCTGATCGGGTGGTTCTTTCGTAGGCAGTCTGCAGGTCAGAAACAGAGTGGAAGCCCAGAGATTATGATCTCCTCATGTCTCTTCACCTGAGTACTGAATTTTAGCGCACCTAAAAGTCACCTCCCTTGGGAGTAGAGACTGTGATCCTGCTGGCCCTGTGGCATCACGTTCATGGCACACCTCCCCCAAGCAAGTGTGACATCTTTCCTGCAAAGTGTAGCCATTTCAACACATGTTCTGGGCAGCTACTCTCTATCCAGCTGACACAGAGGTGAAACCTACTGACCTTCCAGAATGAAGGATCTGATCAGTGATAGTCATTTTCAATCTTGGGCATGCCAGAAATGGAAATAATGCCAGAGGATCAACTTCCAACAGAGATGACAGTTTCTCAAAAGGAACAGCTTTGCAGTATAAGGGGCAACATGATCCCACTTCCGTGTGTTAAATATGAAAAGAACTAAGCCAAAGAGCAGACGAGTAAGTTATTCTAAAAATCATGTGTAATCACAGAAAAAGGTATAGAAGAAAATACATTACATTTAAATGAATTTTAGATTTAAATATATTTAAATACATTAAAATGTTAATGGTAGGCCTCTCTGGGAAATAAGATTATATGTGATTTTTATCTTTTTAATTTATTACTGTTACTTTTCAAAATACTCTATTAAGAACATGTATTACCTCTTATGATCAGGAAAAAAAACCCACAAAAAATTATGATAAAAATACTGGGTTATATTCACTCACTATAGATTTGGACACATCAATACAGCAAAATCCATATTCACCACAGTCACAGCCAAACAAAAAAAACCCAAAATAGCTTGCAAAATTACTTCTATCAAATATACATCACATTGGGGTCAGAGATATTCATAATTGTTAAAGTTCCATAAAAAATGTTCTAAAAGACAGTGAATTTAAGGCATAGAATAATTTAGCCCTACCATTTTAGTCTTATTCTGACTTTGGGAATTAAATTCTCCCCTACATAAAACGTTTCCAGTTTTACTATACCTTCCTAAAAGACAATCTCTTTGCATTCTGTTTTCACATGAATAGAATGACCACCATTTGAGGCCGGCTGTCACTGGTAAGCATTTTCCAGAAGAAAAGTGTGATAAAGGTACAATAGTTTGATGAGTCATATATGACCACTTTAAGGAATAGACAAGTCTTTCCTGAGGGGATAAAACTATATGCTACGTGGGCTTTTCTCGCTTAACAAAATTAGCCTTGGAGGTCATGCATTGTCATTTGCAGGGAAACCTGGTTTTGTTACTTTGAGGATCAACACTGGGACATGCCCCTGCATTACAAAGATGTATCAGAAGAAAAGGATATTTTAAGGCAGAATCCTATTTTTTTTTAAATTTTTTTTTAACATTTATTTATTTTTGAGACACAGAGAGATAGAGCATGAACAGGGGAGGGTCAGAGAGAGAGGGAGACACAGAATCTGAAACAGGCTCCAGGCTCTGAGCAGTCAGCACAGAGCCCGACGCGGGGCTCGAACTCACGGACCGCGAGATCGTGACCTGAGCCGAAGTCGGACGCTTAACCGACCAAGCCACCCAGGCGCCCCAAGGCAGAATCCTATTTTTTTAGATCATTACCTACCCTTCTTCTTCTTTCCCTCCAGGAGGGTCATTTTGAATTTGGTAAGTTCAACCACTGTTTTTCTATCACATAACACTGATTCTGAGCTTCAAATTCCTTTCCTTCCTGAATCCAGCATGACAGCTTTTGGTAGTCCAAATGTCCAGTTTCTGCTCAGTCAAAACGAGCAGCCTTTCCAAAAGCCAAGCCAGGCCCAGGGCAGGTCTAAAAGGGATCAGCTACATCAAACCATAAAAGAACCAAAGGAGTATCTTTCATCTTAACACTAGGCTCTGGATCATTAAAAAACCAGACCAAGAGAAAAGGGGATTGATTTTATACAAGGGGCACTAGGTATTAGCAACACAAAGCCAGTCCCCAAACTTCCCCCAGGAAGGCTGTGCTGGGGTTTTATGAATTTGAGAGAGAATGCTACTACATGAAGGCAGTGAGTGAAAGGAGAAAAGCCAGGGAAATAATTCTCAAGGTTATACTTGTTTGGTCAACAATCCATCTCAGTCTCTAAATTCTCCTTCAGCAGCCGCTCTGCTTCCACGGGAACTCCTTTCACCAGCTCCCAGCTTTGAGGTCAATGCCAGCTGCCAGACTCAGGGCAATTATTGAGCCACTCACGCTGATCATGAAGATGCCCAAATGGATACCTCTGCCATCGCTCACTCATGTGTCACAGGTACACCCTCAAAGTCTAGCTTTTTAGAAGCTCATGTATGCAGGGAGCATGCAAACACTGAAGTCTGGGCAAAAATTCTCTAGGTAATGCACATGACATGTTCCTTCCCACATTTTAACAAATCATTACAAAGCTGAGTTTTGAAACATTGCTTTTGTCATTCTTGAGTTGTTACTCTGTTGGAGGAGAAACAGGTTTCCCTCTTTAACAAAATACATCATTCTCACTGGAGACTTTTTGTCTGTTAAATATGTGAAATTTTAAAGGTCATGAATCTGCGCATGTAGGGAAGGAAAATGATGATGCTGAAGGGAGGGTCAGAGCTGTTGCTATTGGACCAGGAGGGCCTTTCACAGGTAAAGGTCACTACTAGTTATCTCCACTTCTCAAACTTTCAAAACATCCTATTCGGCTGGCTCGAAAGCAATCTGGGCCTCAGTCTTCTACCTGATTTTCTTTCACCAGGGTTACATAAAGATCAAACATTTATTACACTTGGAAGAGAGCTTTAAAACCATTAAGAATAAAATTAAAATATTAATAAACACTATGATTCTTCATGTAAACTCCCTCGCACATGGTCCTTTCCTGGCAAGGAAAAATGATAAAGCCAAATTATGATAATATTTTGTGGCTGGGTCTAGCCTGGGGTAGACTGACCTCCTGGAGTTCAACTTCCTCTTTCTTAACAGCATTCCCAGCCACCTTTCTAAATGGCACCGCTCTACCTATATTGACCAAAGAAAGAGAAGAGGATGAAGCAGTGGTAGTGAACAGAATAAATCCCATTTACCAAGGCTTCTTGATTCCATGGAAACTGCATGTCTTGGGTGTGAACTGTGAGTAGCCAACCTTGGTACTTCTCACGTAATTGGGAACCGGTGGTATAAATTCAGTAAATTAATACACAGTTTACCATATATAGTAAAGAACCTGCCAGTGTTCTCCATGAGGCTCACCGAACCAGCAAGCCAAGGAAATGTAGCTACGGAAGGTGGTCTCCAAAGATGGCAGCCATCAATTCCCCCATTCCTGTATGTCTATGTCACTCCTCCCATCAAGAGGTGGTATCTATTTTCCCCTACCTTGCATGGGGGCTGACCCTGTATCTTGCTCTGACCTATAAAATGTGGCAGAAATGATGCTGTATCAGTTCTGGCCCAGCTCATAAGAGGCCTGCTGGCTTCCATTTTTGCTCTGTTGGAGCATTAAGCTACCATGTCAGAATTCCGACTCCCCTGTGGTAAAGAGAGCCCCTGGCCGTTTAAGCCACCTCCACTAAGGCACAACACATGTGAGGGAAACCATTCTGGATGTTCCAGTTCCACCTGAGCTCCCAGCTAAATTCAAGTATATGAGTGATCCCAGCCGACACTGTGTGGAGTGGAGATAAACGAATTTACGACTCTCAGAAAAGTGAGCAATAAAATGGTGGTAGTGGTGGTTTTGTTTTTGTTTCTGTAAGCCACCAAGCTTTGGGGTAGTTGATTATACGCAACAGACAACTGAAACAATCCCCTACAGATAGTACAGACAGATTTTCCACTTAATTTCCACTTCCTTCATTTCACGAAGTGTCAAGGATTTTCCATTATAAGCCTTTTCTTGGATTTCTCTTCTCACCTTTCAAGTCTTCTTAACTCTTCACTCAAGAGGTTGTGCAGCTCCAGCTTTTCCAGAATGAGTTCACACTGCCTCTGGTACTGCTGCAGAGGGTTTTCAGGAAAGGAAGTGTGAAGTGCATTCACACCTCCTAGCAGTGCACCTCCCTGAAGGGGTATCGAGAAAATGGAAAATACCAGAGAGAGTCAACCAGTCAGCCTGCATAGAGGAAGCATATGCTGGAGGCCACTGATCCCAGATCAGCCCTCTCTACTCCCATCTTGGCTGTCAGTCAACTGGGCCTTTTGCAAATTTCAACAGTTCTCTCCCTCCAGTTCCTGGTGGCAAGAACTGCTCCAGGAAGCACACTGTCACTAGTGGGACCATGAGCGCCCCTCAGACGTGTTGAGGAAAAAAGAGTGACACCCACTGCTGCACACTAGTTGGCAAAAGCAATGCTACTGACGCAAAGAATGCTTCCACGACCATGTTTTCCCCTTCTTTTAAATGGTTTCCTTTGGATATATTTCCTGAAATTATTAGATCTAGGTTATGATCACTTTTACAACTCCTGATATGCTATAAATTGTCTTTTTTTTTTTTTACATGCTTATAGTTAGAGTTCAAATATTAGGTGCAAAATACCCTTACCTGCATCGAGGATTCCATTACTGACACTGCTGTAATAGCATCTTCCAGAGTCACAGTGTCACGAAACATCAGGCGAGCATGAGCTAAGAAAATTATGAAGACAGAAATTTTTTGATGCACATCTGAGGGGATAAATGTAATACTTTACCTGACCCCCTGAAAAATTACATTTTATGAATGAGCTACTAGTACCAAATTCATTTTACTAAAACAAGCACAAAAGTCTAATTTATTTCCTTCCTCCCTTCCTCCCTTCCTTCAGTAGGCTCCACACCCAGCCTGGAGCCCTATGCGGGGCTTTAATCACAACCCTGAGATCAAGACCTAAGCCAAAATCAAGAGTCAGACTCTTATCCAAATGAGCCACCCAGGCACCCCACAGAAGTCTAATTTCAATTAGTTTTAAAGTTGTTTCTCTAATGATGGGCCTAATCTTTCACAGCCCATGTCAATTCTGGGTATTTACATGAACGTACTCTGGGCTCCAACAAGAAAAGAATATATAGAAAGGGGTTAATATATAGAAAGAATATAAAGAAAGGGGTTATATAAGCATATAGCTAATATTCAACAACTTTTAATCTCCATTTAAAAAAATGTTTATTTACTTATTTTGCAGACAGAGAGGGAGAGAGAGAGAAGGTGCATTTGTGTGAGTGGGGGAGGGACTGAGAGACAGGGAGAGAGAGAATCCCAGGCGTTGTCAGCATAGAGCCCAACGCGGGGCTCGATCCCACAAACCGTGAGGTCATGACCTGAGCTGAAACCAAGACTCAGACACTTAACTGACTGAGCCACCCAGGTGCCCCATTAATCCTCATTTTCTAGTCTATTATAGAAATACACAATATTAAAGTCATTTCTCATCTCTGGCATCTCTGGCTCCAGGCTCTGAGCTGTCAGCACAGAGCCCAACACTGGCTCGAACTCATGAACCGTGAGATCATGACCTGAGCTGAAGTTGGATGTTTAACCGACTGAGCCACCCAGGTGCCCCTAGAAAAAAAGTCTTGAGATACATGTTAGTTGTATGTATGCATGTAAGTCTCATGCCTTAGGGTTGGGGTCATCTGTTATGTTAGTGGTGGCCTGTGAATGGCAACTAATGAGAAAAAAACAGATATGCTTCACTGGAAACAACTCTAAACAAGCAAGTATTCCACCGAGAATGCTAACAGACCACCACTGAGAAACAAACGTTAGTAAATAAGACTTTCTAAATGAATCATGTCACCAAGAGTCCTCTTAATGATGCTACACTCTACTCAATACTCATAATCTGTCCTCAGAAGAATGCAGGTTTCATAGCTCAGAGCCTTTGCTTTTCAAGCAACTATGAACACCTTAGAAAATCTTCTTATTCATCTTTGAATCATGGTGCCAAGCTCCATGCCTTGCACGCATTGGGCACCCAATAGAAGTATTATTTGTTGAAAGAAATAAACCTTCTGCCAATCGGATCAAGCTTTCCAGCAGGCGGATGGTGGTCCGGGCAGCGTTCCGGGAATCACTCTGCCTCTGCATCTGGTAGTACCGGAGAAGAACCTGATTACCCACGTCAGACAGTGTGGGCTGTAGATTTCGAATCAGGCAGAAATAGGTTTTCATCTTTTCCATGCTCCAGAGCTTTTCTGATTTGCTTGGGTAACCTGTAAATATCAGGTGCTAGGTCAGCAATTTCTAAGAACAGGCAAACATCTCACTTAAAGGGTTTTGATAACGTTCTTGTGTTCATCTTTAAAAAAGATAACCTTCAGGTTTGTGGCCACTGAAACCTAGACCTGATTCTGCATGGCATATAGTTCAAGAACAAGCAGCCTTAGGATCTAAGCTTAATGAAGGTAAACTTCCTACAGGCGCTAAAATTATCCAGAATAATTCTGGTCTGTCCTATAGTAATACACAGTATTTGAATAAATCTAATTTAACTTAAAGAGAAACACACATTTAGAGATTTCTGTTTCATAATTCAGTCCAGTTTTCTTTGAGTGCAAGAGGTGAGTGGTAACTATTTACCATAAGGTTGCCCTCTTTTAATCACAAAGAACATATTTACCAACTATAAGATCATCAGCAGGCCTCCTTCTTTCTGCTCATTATTCTGGGCACACTAAATGGCTCCTCTTGCTGCCTTCGGTCTAAGCATCTCTCTATTGCCGGTTAGGTAGGTACTTTGAGTATTTACTTAATTTTCTTCAAAGAGAATTTCATCTGGTTATGTCTACTTTTTCTCTACCAATGTGAATGATTTATCTCCACATACCTTTGTTTTCTAAGATAAAGGAGGAAATTATACGATCCCAGTCTTCATTCTTGGTATCAAGCAAAACCAGGATCAGATCAAATCGACTTAAGAGTGGACTGCCAAGGGCAATGTTCACGGACACGGACTCGTGGGGGTCATACTGGCCTTTGGGGTTAGTTGCTGCCAGAATGGTGGTCCTTGTGTTCAGCTTGCACACGAGGCTATTAAAAGAGAGGGTACAATTCACTGACTGCTGAGATTCAAATAAATAGCAAAATTAAACTTGTTAATAAAAAGAAAATCTTGTTCCTTGAAAATCTAGAGAAACTGTGTGGAAGAGAATATGGAATGATACAAGGAGGTATCACAAATGCCAATTTCAAAGGAAGTATATTAAGGCAGCGTATGCTGAAAGGAGTTATTGTTAAATAAATATTTCTTATGCCCCTACTATGAGCAGATCCCTCTGCTGGGTGCTAAGAGGTGTACAAAATTAAATTAAACACAGATACTATTCTTAAGGAGCTTGTAATCTACCAGCTATAATGGTAAGACAGGGCAGACTATGATACATTCTGGAAGGATAAAGTTCCCAGGGGAAGTAAAGATGATGTGTATTCATTTCTATGGTTGGAAGAGATGATTAGAGAAACAATGCAAAGTAGCTTTTGAACTGGGCCCTTCACAACATCTGGA